CCCATCCACGTTAACCTTTATGATTCCTGCAGCAGGAGGTCTCCATCTAGTTTCACTCAGCCTTAGGACACTTGCAGCCCCTCTCCCTCTTGATGAGATGGCCGCTCTGTACTCTTTCAAGAAAAAGCACCGCCCTTTCTATTATCTGGCTAGAAGAACACATATTGTATTAATTAATGGAAAAGCAAACATGGAATGTGCACTGGTCACTGGATTAATTAAAAACAATCCTGGAATACAACCAATTATCTGATTATATGATTGGCCTCAATGGAAAAACAATTAGTGGAAAAGCAATCCTGGAATGTGCATTTTGATTATGTGATTGGCCTTAATTATAACCCCAGATTATATGCTAGCTAGGGCACTGGATTAATAGTTTGAATTGTTCAAATATAACTAATTATCTAAATAGTTGAATAGTAATTTTTTTTAAATATAAAAAATTTTAAATTGGAATCGAATAACATAAATGATGAATTATATACGTGTACCTATATTAAGATTCTTACTCGGCTTATAAGAAAGAAAAATGAAGATTCTTAATTGCATTTTTTATGCATGTCATATGAAAAACAGCAATGATATATTCTTTAATAATGTTTATTGACAATAATTATATTAATTTAGTGTCTTTAGTGTCTTGATCTAGTGTGTTCAAATGAGTGCATAGAATTTGATAAATAAAAGCAAATGCAATGGTGGTAGTAAGCAATCTGTTTTAAGAGCTTTAGTTGTCTTAATTAAAAGATATGCTATCTTTCTTTTTTTTTTTTTGAACGGATTTTACAAGGGGCTGGGTTCGAACCCCAGCCCTGGAGGAGAGGGGAATGCACCATAGGTGGCTATTGTCACTTGGCTCGAAGGGCTCGGTGCGATCTTTCTTTAGTGAACTGTGCCTTAGAAAATGAAATATATACCATGATAGGTTGGTGAAGAAGTCACAATAAATATTGTTATTCAGATGCCATGATAATGGATTTTTTTTTTTTAAGGGCACATGTTAATAATGTAGTTAATTAATACATTTTTAGTAATTAATTTTCATTAAAAAATTAAAATTAATCTTTAATTTATTAACTATCCAAGTAAAATATATAGGTGGCATTAGTTTTTTTCTTTTTTGTTTTTTTTTTATACATCAGATTATGAGTTATATAATGGAAAACAATCCTCTTTTTCTCAAACTCCCGCCCATTCATCTCAAATTCAAATTTGACATCTTAAACGTAGAAGTTTAAGTTTTTAACTAATAAGACGTCCTCTAAAGGTTTATAAGGCACATGTTAATATCAACTTTTACATTTTTTTGACATAAATTAAAGATTAAAAAATGTATTAATTATATATTTAATCTATACCTAAAAAACATGCTAGAAAACCATTTTAAGAAATAACACGATGTTAAATTCTTGTCTTTAAATTCACATAAGTGGTATTATCTCATAAGTTGGAGGGTTTTAATGATCTTATATAAGCATTGTCTTATACTCTCTAATTGATTTTAGATCAAACCTCATCTTTACACCTTAAACATTATTGTTTTCTACTATCAACACTTTTTAAAATTTTCACTCTAATCAATATTTTTTTAAATTTAAAATTCATAAAAAGTCTTTAATTACCAAGCAGATCATGTGCAAATTCGCGTGCAAATATAGGGAATTTGACTGTAAACCTTTTGGGTTTTTGTAGGTTTCAAATTATATATGATGTTGCTCGAAAATAAAAATTTTAGATGACACTAATCACAAAAAGACAATAATATTTATGGTGTAAATAGGGCTTCGGCCTTGATTTTAAGTTGTTACTTTTAATGCTTAACATGATGTCATAATCTAGATATCTACGTTGCCTTTGTTTCTTTCTTCGCCCTCTCTGTAGTGCTAATTTCAATTTAAGAATACCAATTCTTAAGAAGTTTAATCAAATTGGCACAAAGATACTATCAACGTACAAAAAACTTCAGTTGGCAACGAAACAAATAAACGAAAGAAAAACAATATTGAATTGCCACTGTATTGTTGGTTGAATTATCAATTATGATAATAACTATTCAAGCTGGCAAATTGAAAAGAATTCAGATGAAAAGCAGAAGCAAAGCACATTTGCAAGAGCCTTGGCAACAAAGTCAACCAACGAGACAACTCAACCCCTCACACTATTATTTCTTTTATTTTCTCTGCATTTAAGTTTTGAAAGTTCAGCTTTGCTGGCACCTAACATTTGCTTTAGTTGGCAAGGCCTCACATGTCTCCTCCTCTACACACACAAAGTTTTTCTAATAAATAAAGTAGCTCCCACAAAAAAGAAGCATGAGAAGAATCAAGAACAGTCTTGAAATATCTGAAAATGACCCACTCCTTTTCCTTAACCCCTGTTTTTAATTACCTTTCTTCCTCATTTTCTCCAAATTCAAATCCTTCTTCTCATCAACATGGATGTTTCTAGGAGAAGAACTCTGCTTAAGGTCATTGTCCTCGGCGATAGCGGGTATAACCTTTGGTTTTCGTTTTCTCCAACATTGTTGATTTTGTTTCTCTTCTTTTCTGATATACTTATTTATGTACTTTGTTCACTTCCAGGGTCGGAAAGACATCTCTGATGAATCAGTATCCTTTATACGTACATCAACAGCTTTACTTTCATATGATATGTTTTTTTAGTCTTATGAACTTCTGTGTTTCTTGACTTCTCATTTTAGATATGTTTACAAGAAGTTCAACCAACAATATAAAGCTACAATTGGCGCTGATTTCATCACCAAGGAATTGCGGATTGATGACAAGATGGTTACCTTGCAAGTTAGTATTATTATGTTACATGAATGCCTAATTAAGTTTACCAGCCTGAATCAACCTAAAAGCTGACAGTATTCGTGTTAGATAATTGATTCCAAGTCCTGGTAGCATAGACCTTACCCTTTTTCTGGCTAAAATGCATGTGTATTTGCGACAGTTGTGGGACACAGCAGGACAGGAAAGGTTTCAGGGTTTAGGTTCTGCGTTCTATAGAGGGGCAGATTGCTGTGTTCTTGTGTATGATGTAAATATACTCAAGACATTCGAGTCACTAAACAACTGGCGCGAAGAATTTCTCAAGCAGGTTTCCATCTTCCTAAACATTCATGCATGTTTCTGTTTTTTTTTCAATCTTTTTCATTAGATTCTATTCTAATTTCAACTCTGAAACTTGTTTGTGGTACGAACCAGGCTGATCCTGATGATACTAACACTTTGCCCTTCGTAGTAATTGGAAACAAGATCGACAAAGATGGAGGAAAGAAGCGAATGGTATAAATTACATATATCATAGAAATAATAAAACTTAACATACTATAATGATGATTGATGATATATATAGAGGTTGCATTCTCCTATACAGGTTTCTGAGAGAAGGGCTAGGGAGTGGTGTGCTTCTAAGGGAAACATACCTTATTTTGAGACCTCTGCCAAAGAAGATTACAATGTTGATGATGCATTCCTCGGCGTTGCGAACACTGCATTAGCTGGTGAACATCCACAAGATATGTAAGCATGCACACCAATCAAGACTTCTAGATTATGAATTTCGATTTCTTTATTTCATTTTCCTAGGCTTGGTTTAACTTTGTTTCATTCTTGGACAGTTATGTCCCTGGTTTTCCAGAAACTGCTTCTGAAGTTGAACAGAGAGGGGGATGTGCTTGCTGAAGTTGTTTTCATAAGAATACAATTTGTTTTTCTGGATAAACCAAATTTTATTATTATAGGATATATAAGGGATACTCTAACTTTATAAATTAACTATAGTTGCAGTTAATTTAGTTAATTGATAACTATAATAAAACAGTTTTTTTTTTTCAAGAAGTCTATAATATGTAATCTGTTTTCCAAATAAGATGTTATAGTTAAAACATATATAATAAGAATTTGTTTACACACTTGGGCCAGTGACCACTTGTAAAGTATATCTCTCCTCCCCTTGTGCAACGGTTCAATTCTAATTTATTGTAAATTTGTTCAAAAAATAAATAAATAAATAAATATTTATTTACATATAAATCTTGATAATTTATTTTTTATTTTTAATTATTAAAATTTATCATATTTTTTAGATAAAAACAATAGTCATCTTTAACAAATATTAAATGTAAATAAATTTTAATTTTAAAAATACAAAAATAAATTATTAAAATTTTAAATAAATATAATATATAAAATTTTATATAAATAAATCTTTACTTTTATATATATATATATATGAAAGACAAATCTTCAGGAGCAAATGTGCCTAAATGATTTTCTATTTTGTTTTTTGGCTGTCAATTAGACTTGATTTTAAATCCCTTGAAACTCAAACTGAACTCATTTATTAAAGAAATCAAACTCGAGTTATCTAACTCGCTAACAACCTTATTTACAACCCATCACGACATCTAGAATGCTCTAAATCTACAGCCAGCAGAGCTCAAGCCCTCCCAGTCACCTTCAAAGGCCCCATAAACAATTGCACATATTTTAAATTAAGCAAATTCCCATATATAAATAGTTTATACTAAGAATCAGAGTTTGATTCTCCAGACATCATCCTACAACATTATACAAAACATAGACCGAGTTAACAAGTTCTACCAATATAAATAGCTATACACAACGTTTAGTAATACTAAATTATACTAGATTCCATTTATGATGCTCCTAATCCTTAATCCCTACTAGCAGGTAGAGAATGGGAGCTAGAACCAACTGCAATTCTGCTGTTGCTGCATTTTGGATCTTAGAGCCCTCAAGCTATGTGCTATATATAAATAGCACGCTGCTCCATTGTTAAATTTAGCTCCCACAAGCCATGCATTCCTCACGGTTTGTCAGGGAGCACACCATTTGTGCCATTTTGGCACCATCATCCTCTTCTACCTTGGACTTTTCCTGTATTACAGGTAAGGTAAGCAATGAAATTTTTATCAATTAAATTCACAAATGAAGTAAAATATTAAAATGGTGAGTTGGCGCGAAAGGCAAATCATACTTTAAGCATGGAAGTATCCACGGTGAACTTGATGGCATCAGCTGCAGCACGTGATCGTAGATAGTACATTCCAGTCTTTAAACCCTATTTAGCCAAGGCAAGAGGAGGAAAAACAAAACCATGAATCAGAAAATATAGTGCAAACAACCACCATAACTGACCTACCAACAGAAATGCAAGCCAAGTATTTTGTATAAACTTCTAAAGTTGAGCCACAAAGCGTGCCAGATTTGTCCATGAAAAAATCTCAAGGGGAAATAAGATGAAAGGCTGAGAGTTATACCTTGGACCATGCATAAAAATGTAAGGAGGTTAGTTTTCCAAAATTAGGCTGGTCCATATGTATATTTAAGCTTTGACTCTGATCTATAAAGCATCCACGATCTACAGCCATGTCAACCAAAGTTTTTTGCTTGATTTCCCAAACAGTCCTGGCAGATTGAAGACAAACACATTAACAGTAAATACTAGCTCCAACCAATAATAAATGGGAGGTAAGCAATTGGGAGAGGAGCAGCAAATCCATACCTATAAATTCCTTTCAAATCATCAGGTATTTCTGGGATATTATGAACAGAACCATTCTCATAGATTATCTTGTTCTTAACAACAGGAGACCAGAGACCCATCTCAGTTAGGTCATGAAGCAGATGTTTATTCACCACAACAAATTCTC